CATGGTAGTACATGGTACATGGTACATGGTACATGGTACATGGTACATGGTACATGGTAGTACATGGTACATGGTACATAGTACATGGTAGTACATGGTACATGGTACATGGTACATGGTACATGGTACATGGTACATGGTAGTACATGGTACATGGTACATGGTAGTACATGGTACATGATACATAGTACATGGTACATGGTACATGGTACATGATACATAGTACATGGTACATGGTAGTACATGGTACATGGTACATAGTACATGGTACATGGTACATGGTACATGGTACATGGTACATGGTAGTGTACCATGTACCATGTACTACCATGTACCATGTACTACCATGTACCATGTACCATGTACTACCATGTACCATGTATAGTACATGGTACATGGTACATGGTACATGGTACATGGTACATGGTAGTACATGGTACATGGTACATGGTAGTACATGGTACATGATACATAGTACATGGTACATGGTACATGGTACATGGTACATGATACATAGTACATGGTACATGGTGCATAGTACATGGTACATGATACATAGTACATGGTACATGGTGCATAGTACATGGTACATGGTACATGGTACATGGTAGTACATGGTACATGGTACATGGTAGTACATGGTACATGATACATGTTACATGGTGCATGGTACATGATACATAGTACATGGTACATGGTACATGGTACATGGTACATGATACATAGTACATGGTACATGGTGCATAGTACATAGTACATGGTGCATGGTACATGGTACATAGTACATGGTACATGGTAGTACATGGTACATGGTACATGGTACATGGTACATGGTACATGGTACATGGTGCATGGTACATGATACATAGTACATGGTACATGGTAGTACATAGTACATGGTGCATGGTACATGATACATGGTAGTACATGGTACATGGTACATGGTAGTACATAGTACATGGTACATAGTACATGATACATGGTAGTACATGGTACATGGTACATGGTAGTACATGGTGCATGGTACATAGTACATGGTACATGGTAGTACATGGTACATGGTACATGGTACATAGTACATGGTACATGGTACATGGTACATTGTAGTACATAGTACATAGTACATGGTACATGGTACATGGTACATAGTACATGGTACATGGTACATGGTAGTACATGGTACATGGTAGTACATGGTACATGGTACATGGTACATGGTGCATGGTACATGATACATAGTACATGGTACATGGTAGTACATAGTACATGGTGCATGGTACATGGTACATGGTACATGGTAGTACATAGTACATGGTACATAGTACATGGTGCATAGTATATGTTACATGGTAGTACATGGTACACGGTACATGGTACATGGTACATGGTAGTACATAGTACATGGTACATGGTACATGATACATGATACATGATACATGGTACATGGTAGTACATGGTAGTACATGGTACATGGTACATGGTACATGATACATGATACATGGTACATGGTAGTACATGGTAGTACATGGTACATGGTACATGGTACATGGTACATGGTAGTACATGGTACATGGTACATGGTACATGGTACATGGTAGTACATAGTACATGGTACATAGTACATGGTACATGGTACATGGTACATGGTAGTACATAGTACATGGTAGTACATGGTACATGGTAC